GCAAAATCAATCACCGACGTTATAATCAATCAATTCGGTTCTCCGTCCCTTTATCCGTGCAAGGTGTGGGCATCCACGCGATCTGTTACCCAGTTCAGTTGGTCGCTCGCGGTTTGTTTTCTATGCATTAAGAACAAGATTTCTTATTCAACCTTTGTTGACTTTCAGATGTTTACTACGTTGCATTTGGTGTGAAGAACAGCTATGGCAAAAATATTTATTTGACGACAAACATGCCAGCACCTCATAATATCATCAATATTCCTAGAGATCGACAGATTCAAAGAACGGTCGTGCTACTTCACCAGAACTTGGTGAATATCCATGCTTTTGACGCTGCTACTAAACAATCCATTAAAATTGATAATCGAGAGTACATCACCCTGACACCCAACCGAAGCAAACCAACTACCTTACGTGTATACCACGTCCCAAGTGAAGGTAAATTGGACGCTAAACACATTTGCCTCCGCCTGGAGATTATGTTTTCATCTGCATTTGTACGTGCGTGTGTTTGTCTGTCAGCTCGATAACTTATCAAGCGTATTAAGAGGAGCTTTTTTTGTATGTTACGTAACACGCGCTCAAAACTAATGCGTATAATATATCGCTTGAGGTTATGACTAAATTCAAAATTTTTATCTAAATTAAATTTTTTTTCGATACGTTTCTCAATCGGCAAACAAACTTAAAAAGTGTGTTTAGTGCTTTATCTGTAAAATAATGTCAAAATGAAGAGATTTTAGATGATACGCCAAAGAGAAAATGATGTTTGAAGTTCAGTAAGTTTTGCTTATATGGCTGTAAATATGGCGTCAGTTTTAAAGCATCATTGATATTCGTATTTTAATTGACAACTATTATTTTATGTTTCTCAACCGGCAAATGCATTTAAAAAGGTAACTAACTCTATAAACTAGAGAATAAAGCTAAAAGAAAGTAATTTTGAGAGGAACGCCAAAAAGATTTTAGGTTTTGAACGCTTTTCATTGCGAATACGTGACATTGAAAAAAATTGCCTCTTAATACGAAAATTTTCGGGACTAATAGATATTGCTCAAGCACAAACTGGATAAATTTTGGTTAAATTTGGGCGTGAAATTGCAAACGTTTGTGTTGCAATTTGAATCTCTGTTGGCAATGTGAACTGCGATTATTTCATAACAACAGTGGATCAAAACGAATTTAAAATTTCAAAGATGTGAAGTTCGTAAATTTTATAATACAGGGTGTATCAAAATAAACGCAATTCATCTTTTGTGCTTAATAACTTTCGAAATACTATTTCTAGTTAAACGCTTTTAGGCTTTCTTCAAAGCCTGTTCTTTTCTCTTTCAAACAAACTATTATCCTTGTCTCCAATGCTAGTAATAATTGCGCAGGAAAAGATTTAGTAAAACCTATCATTTTTAGTTGCTGTTTAATTATGCAAGTTTACTATGTTATTGTTTAGTCGGTTTAAATGTTAGAATTTTCTTCTTTAAACTTTAATGTTGTCGTCACTACATCTGGAAAACCACGTAAGAATAAATTAAATGTATTTTAAAAGAGACCAGGTTGTTTGAAAATCCTAAACGAATGCTAAAAATCGTCAAAACATACTGGTGTCTGAGCCAGAGTGCATGTCATCGAATTGCGATGTAATGCATGTAAACAGAAATTATAGCAAGTTGATGTCAGTCAGCTTAGATGGTCCAAGCCAAAATTATATCGCATTTGAAGTTTAAAACTGAGTTAAAAATAGTGGAAGAAAAGCCGTAATTATACTTATTGTTACAATCCATTTAATAAAATGCAACATTTTTTTGTTTTAATGAAAAAATCAGTTATTTTCATGAGAACGATTTGTTATTCCATCTCAATTTTTTTAATCTCCAATCGCAATAACGTAAAGTATTATTACCCGCAAACCAATGAGTCAAATTTAAGAAACAACGCACTGTTAGAAAGCTGAATGGCCACGCTTTAAAATGAATGTAAACTTTAACGTTTTCGTCTATTATTTGTTTAGCAATTTACATTTCAGTCGAGGATTGCGCTTTTTTTTATACACCCTGTATATGCATGTATAATTGATTATTTATTTCTGTTCTAGGGCCTTATTTTGCTTCCTTCACCATAAAGAATCTTCGCACACAAGCAATCTTCATTCAGACAAATTTCCAGCCATCGGGACAATTCCTTCGACTAGACCCAGGCAAAGTTATGTCGCGCAATTTGGAAGTAAGAAGAGCTGATGCCTTAACTTTTATGGCTTACGACGCAATATCATTACAACGTGTCACACTGAATGGTAAAAATGAGATTAGGCTCATTCCAACGACTAAACGAAAAACAGCAACTGTGTTATCCGTGCCTTATAATGG